TAAGGAATGATATTTATTTTTTCAACATTTATGAGGTCATAACAACAATGGGTTTTTGGACATATTTTACATGAATCGCTAACGCGATTCATTCAATATGTCCATAAACCCATTGTTGTTATGACCTCATAAATGTTGAAAAAATAAAAATCATTCCTTAAATATAACGGGACGTAATGATAAAATATATATAACAACTATAACTAATATATAACGGGACGTAATGATAAAATATATATAACAACTATAACTAATATATCTTATGGTAATAGTTATAACTTAATGCAGTGGCGGATCCAGAGGGGTTTTTGGGCTTCAGGAACCCCCCACCCCCCACCGTGAGAATTATCTATAAAAATCATGTTTTTTCACCATTTTCCACTGGTAGGTCTTTGGATCCGCCACTGTAATGGTAATATATGTTAGACTATAAATTGAAATTACTATGAAATTCAAATACTATATAAATTGTATATGATTCGCAGTCCTTTCAATTAATTGATTAACTCAGAGGTAGTCTGTTTTGGACAAGCTTAAGCCGGTTCATCTAACAGTAGCAAATTGATAAAACGTGAAAATAAATGAGATGTATTTACCTGTTCACCAATAGGAAATACTTTGTTAGTTATAGGAATATTTAAAAAATATATTTCCTGATTTTCGTAATATTGAATAAATATATACAATATTCCAGTTATTACTTAATAAAAACCCATCAAAATACATTAACTGAAAACCTGCTTTTATTAATTTCATATTAAATCAATTTACTACATTATTACTATACATTTACATGTATGTTATATATATTTTTCATAAAATAGAACTAAATTTAACAAGCAATTTATGACAAATATAATCAGTAAAGACAGAGATCATGTATTACATTGTTAAATATGCAAAAACAGATGCAAAGCTTGAAATGGAAATAAATAAAACGAATTAATTACATATTTACACATGGAATACTCAACACTGGTTGATCAAATCAATCATATCCATAAAATGCACCCATGCACAAAGATTCATGATATAAAACTAATATAATAGCCAAGCACAAAATAAAAATTCCAGAACAAGCACATTTATCACAATGGCACTCAAAATGCAAAAGATGGGATGCTGTGTCGGCGTACTGGATTACATCTGTTGTACCATTTTCCAAGCGTTCCTTTAGTTGGTTAAGGCGGCTGTCGATGTTACGGTAGCGTTTTGCTCTTGGTCTGAGTTGTCCTGCTGCGTGTTGGATGCGCGTTATCTCGTTGTATTTCCTGGAAGACGCGGATGATGCTGTAGATGTTGGGGTGAGCGTGTTCCACTTTCTTCTTCAGTTTTCTGTGCCATCCCTCTTTGTGGTTGGTTGTTCTGGGTCCCTCGGTCTCAAAGTGGTTCCAGAGCTGTTGAAATTAATTTCAATTAAAATTTTAAAAAAATATGAATTAATCAAAGCATTATCATCTATGTATATACTAATAAGTATATTAAAAATTTATGAATTTCACGTTACTGTTTTGTATAGAACTAGCTGATGAAAATGGTATATGATATGAAAAAAATGTCTAAAAATGATGACAATAGACTATATCAAAGCTACAAGTATATGGCAGTACTGTATATATGGACCCGGCTGATGATATCAATGGATTCGCAGTATTTCACCAACTGTATAGGTACATATTTCTTCTGGGAAACCAGTGACTTCCAGAAAAGGCTGGTTGGCAACCAAGAAAGATTGGTGACGCTGGAGAGACAGATGACATCCAGGAACAGACTGGTATCTGGGCACTACGGGTTGGCAGCCCAGGGTGCAGTCCTTGCGAGAGGACACCATTAATCCAGCTACAACACAACAAGAAGAAACACACACACCCAAAGCCTTCCGAGAGGCGGGGGGGGGGATGATGAAAGGCTTATACGGACAGATATAACGGAAACGACACGGACACGGACGCAAACTCGTTTGGTATAAACAACGCTGACAGGAGCATCAGCAGAAGTAACGTGCCACTGCGGAAAGGTGTGTAAGAACATCCGGGGATTGAGGATTCATCAAGCAAGGGTGAAGTGCAGACTTGTGGAGTTACAGACGCAGCGCTCAGAAGTAAGGAGGACTCCACCCCATAGTGTTGTGGACCTCTCTGCTTCGGTTTCGTCACAGGTCAGCCATTCAGACTTGAGTGATGCAAAACACGACCAGGATGTTCAAGCACATCCAACACATCCAGCACGTAGGTTGAGGATAGAGTGCCCAAAGATAAACAACAATGAAGCTTGGAGAAGCTTAGATGCTGACTTACATACCATCCTAGAGTCGGCTCTAATGAGAAGCTTAGATAGGAAGGTTGAGGCAATGGGAACTATCATCTACACATTCTGCAAGGAACGATTTGGAATAGGAGGAACGCAGAGAAATACTTAGAACGTTACTATCCCGAATAGAAGACAGGATAGCATCCAACAACTCAGACAGGAACTGAAAGCAGTCACACGACAGTACAGGAGGGCAAGTGATATAAAGAGGATAGGATTACATCAGCTGCGGGACGACATCAGGGAGAACTTGGCAAGACTCATGAAAGCAGAGCAGGTTAAGAAGGCAAGGAAGGATAGAACAAGGAAGAAGGAGTCCTTTATCAAGGAACCTTATTCGTTTACAAAGACTCTGCTGGGAGGGGTAAGATCAGGCCGTTTGGATAGTTCAACAGCAGATATTGAGCAACACTCAGGGAAACGCACGGAGATGAAGATAGGGGCATTCCACTTGGGAACTGTCCACGGATAGAAGCAGAGGAGCTACC